TGCATTGCAGCGGTTCATTAGCAATGTCGACCACACGCTTTCAGAGAAACGAGGCAAGGAGCTTGCCCAAGAAGGTCCAGCCAACAAGGTGTTGGCAAACAAGAGACGGCACAAGGACAATGCGAAGAAGAGTTGCCAGGGATGGTTTGAGGGTCGCGGCAGGACGTTGTTGCTTCTGGGGCACTGGAGCACCCAGGACTCCGGCTGCTTGGACGGCATGGAGGAGGGCAGGGTAGTTATGATGGGGTTCCAGTCAAGATTCGGACATGAGGGCCCGTCATGTCTGCATGGTATGAGTAAGCATGCTTTGCGCAGTACAGAGGACTTCCCAGTTAAGGTGTGACAGTTGGAGTACATAGGGAGATAGATTCGCATTCGCGACAAAGTTTTGGTCGCATGAGGGCGATGGATGATCCCTCACTGTTCGCAGACAGACAGTTGCAAGCCACGATATTTCAGGCCTCTTGCCAAGCGCGGGTTCTTGAACGCGTGTCGTGAGGTCTGCTGAACATTTGGCGCGCGAACTTGAAAGGGGAGCAGCAATTCTGACGCAGGCTGACAGGGTTTGGGAGCACTACGGGAAGCGGGAAAAATTGCAGGCATTAGACGGGAGGTCTCCGACGGAACGAACGTGTGTGTGTGTGTGCGTGTGTTGTTGTATCAGTTTTGATAGTTATGTCAAGGCAGATGATTTGAATTCTAACGTATTTATCCTCCTTACGCCCGCCCCTCCCCGAAACTGAAACGGGTCGCGGGCAGGTTGCGGCGAGTGGCGCGGGGCGCAGGCAGAGGGAGCGGCAGAAGCGGAAAAAGCAGCGATGAGCCCCCAGTGATTGTCGTTGATCTACGTACTGCGTTGCGTTGAAAATGCGCCTCTGGCGAAGAAGCCGGCTTGTGAGCGCTGTGCGTGCGCAGGCCAGCGGGCCAGGGGGCGACGGCATTGGAGCTCGCACGAAGAGTATGACGAGAGAGCGTCAAAAAGCGAACATTGGGGCGCGTGCGACCCCGCCGACTGGAGCCGTGATTGATGACTCGGGGCTCCCAGTGGGGCACGACGAGGTGTGTGGGGGGTGTGTCAAAAGGGGTTTTGGTCAGCATTCGGCCGTGCGCACTGGCGCCCCGCAGATGGGGTTGCCCCCATGGGGCACAAGGCGCGTGAGTAGTGTGCCAGAATGAGCTCGCGCGGGAGCCGCGGCAGCGGCAGCGGCAGCAGTGGCAGCGGCAACGGCCAGCACCAGCGGCGTCGGTGAGCGAGGTACAGCGTCCCTGTCTCTGGGGATCGAGCAACCCACGTCCAGCTGCTGTTCACTTGGATCCCTTCTCCACTTCGGTCCTCAAGGTTCTCATAGGCCGAGCGTAGCCAGACTGGGCCGTCTGGTTTTCCAGCGGGCCCGGCGCCACGGGAAGGCCGCGAGGAGTTCTGCGCGTTTGCTGCCGGCGCGGCCGGAACGCTGCGGCCCGGGCCACTTGGGGCCGGGCAAGGGGAGCCAGTGAGTGATTGGGCCCCGAAGCCACAAAGAAGTCATTGAGCCAGGCCCAGCGAAACCCCGTCCCGCTAGCGCCCGCCGAGTCGGGCCAGGGCGATGGAGCCACCGCTTCGGAGCTCCAGTGGACTTCCAGAGATGCCGGAACTCCGATGGGGCGGCGCCTTCTTGCCGCGCGCCCGCGGCGCGCCCTCGAGGAGGCGAGCGACACTTGCCCAGGGCGCAGCTTGCGCCCCGGCAGCGTGGAGGGAACGGGTCTGGAGGGAAACGGGTCCTGCTCACGATTTGGAGCCGGCTGGGGGTCCTGAGGTGGTCCAGCATTGGTTCTGGCGAGCAGGAAGGGAGTGGCGCGGTTCGACGTTCTGGGTTCGAGCAAGTGTTTTACCCTCTTCGGCTTCCGGGAGCCGTTTTCGAGCTCCAGGAACCGATATTGCATGAAGAATTGCACCCAGTGAACCCCAGGAGGGCTCCATGGACAGATTTTGAGCGGATTTGGCCTCGTCCCCCTTGATCGTTTTTCTGGGGCCCCATCCAGTTCAGACCCCGCAGCCACACCCACCTCACAATGGTTTTTGTTCCTAGGTCCTAGGCTCAACGCTCGCGTGCAGTTCGCAGCGTGTTGCCAGCACTGCCATATGTGGGGCTTCTGAGGTCAATGGCAGCAGACGTGGGGAGGCGCTAAGGTTAAGTCGGGCATGTCCCTCTACAGGAGGAATATTCAAAAGTAGTCCAAACATAATATGAGGACGATGTTTGACTAGTTTTGACTATTTTTGATTTTGTGTTCGAATATGTTTTATTTGTCGTCCGAAATCCGCCTGTAGGAGGACATGAACGCTAAGCTGCAATCGCGCCCATCCCGCATGCGCTAAAACTGTGTACTCAACTATCTTGCCAGAAACTGTATTCGGCTGCTCAAAGACTGGGGGCGTCCCCCAGGACCAGCTCGCTTCGTCCTGAGTCGTTCGCTAACGGCCAGGGGCCCCAAGACCGTGCGGTGACGGACCGCGCGGTGACCTTGAACCCCAGGAGACCTCACCGCGCGGTCGGTCGCCGCACGGCCCTTGGACGTCGGAAACCACGACCCGAGTCCCAGAGCCGTGCGGTGATCCCGAATCCCCACTGACGAACCAGGCGGTGTGGTCACCACACCGTTTGGGGGCACCCGCAAGTCTTCATCCTGAGTCGTTTGTTGGCATGCCCCAGGGGGCCAGCCCGTGGCTGGCCCGAAGGGCTGGGCAAGAAGTGCCACGGCGGGCAAGACGGCGGGGAGTCGACTCTTGCATGGCCGAAGGCCCCTCCACGGTCCTGTTTCCGGCGGCGGCACCGCTTCTCACGGGGTTGCATGTGTTGTTGTGAAGGACTGTGCACAAATAATCGAATGTGTATGTATATGTCTTATGTGTGTATGTGAGTATACATGTTTGCTTGTATGTACGTTTGTGTAAGTTTGCATGACTTGTTGCATGTGTGTATGTATGTGCGTAGGTACATGTATGTGTGTATACGTGTACGCATGTATGTATGTATGCATGCATGCATGCATGCATGCATGCATGCACGCATGTGCATACATGTTTTTATAGACATGTATGAAGATTACATGTATGTGTGTATGCATGTATGTGTGCATGCCAACATGCATGTGCGTATGGATGTATGTATGTGTGCATGTATACATGCATGTACGCATGTGTTTATATGTATTCACATACATGTATGAAGATGTGCATATATGTGTGTATGTGTAGGTGTGCAGGCATGTATGTGTGCATGCCAACATGCATGTGTGTATGTATGTGTGTATGGTTGTACGTATGTACTATGTGTGTATGTATGTGTACGTATGTATGTATATATGTATGTGTGTGCGTATGCGTGTGTATGTGTGTGCATGCTTGTGAGTACAGATGTGTGGACGTGTGTATGTGTGTGTGCATGCATGCATGTATGATGTGTGGATGTGTCTACGTATGTGTATGTATGTACGTCTGTATTATGTATGTGTGTACGTATGTGTGTATGTGTGTACATATGTATGTACGCATGCGTGTGTATGTGTATGCATGCTTGTGAGTATATGTGTGGGCGTGTGTATGTATGTGTGTATGCATGCATGCATGTATTATGTGTGGATGTGTGTATGTATGTATGTGTATGTATGTGCATACGTATGTATGTACGTGTGTGCGTATGTACGTGTGTATGCATGCATGTATGCATGCATGTGTGTATGGATATATGGATGGACGTGTGTGTGCGTGTATGCATGTATGCGTGTGTGTTTGTATGTGTGTGCCTATGTGTTTATGTGTGGATGTGTGTATGCATGTATGCATGTATGTATGTATGTGCGTATGCATGTATGTATGTTTGCATGAATATATGATTGTGTGCATGCTCGTATATGTATGTATGTGTATGCATGTGTGGATGAGTGCACGCATACATGTATCAAAGCGTGTCGATTGTGTATATATGTATACGGACGCATGCATAGTGTGTAGATGTGTATGCATGTATGCATGTGCGTATGTAAGTATGTATGTTTGTAGGCGTGAATGTATGTGTGTATGCATGTATGCATGTAAGTATATATGTATACACGCGTATGCGGGTGCGCGTGCGCGAGCCAAGACCGGGGAGGGAAGCTGTATCTTGCGAGGGAACCCGTGCCTCCGGCCTGGCGGCGCGCGCTCGGCGCGGTCCCGATGCTGGGCGTTGCGCCGTCCTCCCGTCAGGGAGGGGCAGCTTCGGGTTCCCCAGGTGGTGTTCCTGGGGGTGCCAGTGCCCGTCGCAAATCGGCCATGTGTGATCCCCCGCCTCCCTGGGGGGCGTCCCGGACTGGGGGCCCGGGCCGCAGCCGAGACCACCGAGGGAGGCGCCCGAGAGGCGCCGCCGAGCGCGACCCACGGGCCGCCCAGGTGCGTGCAGAGGCAGTCGCGCAACTTCCCAGAACAAGGGGGATTGCTTCGGGTTCCGTGTTCGAGGCGTCCTCGGTGGCGAGCGGAGGGAGGAAGTGAGGAGGAGAAGGCCCTCTCAGAAGGCGAGGAGACTTCTCAGAAGAGCCCTCGCGCCTTCTGAGAAGTTCTTGCGTTTTCGGGGTAGGCATAGAATTTTTGTTCAGAAAGCCGGGGGACTTCCGAGCCTTCTGAGCAGGGCCGCCCCTTCTCTTTTTCCCCCAGCCTCGCCGCCGACTTTTGCACCTTTTCGTCGGCTCTCCGCGGTTTTATCGCCTCGGGATGCACTCCACCAGCTGCGCCTCGCCAAGGGCGTTTCGGGGGTGCCCGGATCGTTTCGAACGGCCGCTGGAGGCCGGACTAATGGCGCGTTGGTACCCAGAATCGTCCCAGGCTTCCAAACGTCACCAGAGAACGACCAATTCAGTATCCCTCCGCCCATTGAAAGGATCGGCGGCTACTCAGTGCTGTCGAAAGCATCAAGACAAGCGTTCCAGACCAAGACGCAGCCCCGAGGCGGGACTGGGCAGCGGAGGTGCCAGCAGTGTTCTACCGGATGAAGCAGATGCCTGGATGTGACAGGCCAGAGGCACGCAACCCCGCTCGGTTGGCTGAAAGTTCAGGGTTGGATTAGTTGGGATCGGGCAGGTGACTTATATGTTTGTGGGGTGCTTGGCGGATTTCGACGCGGAAGGTTCCAGCTTTGGAGGTAATTCCATCAGTTGGGGGCATCCCAAATGACGGCCAGCCAAGGACTAAGCTTGGAATTGGAGGGGATAGTAGGTTCAGGTGCATCCCAGGATTTACCCCAAAGGTACCAGGGAGATGTTTGAATTCAGAGGCAAGCTCTGGGAAGCACGTCGGGCCTCGCACCCCAGACGCAATGCACCTGGCGCTGAGATCAACCAGAGGCTCGGGACTTGGACAATCGCGCGCTTGGATCTCGTCGAAGGTTGCTGGAATCTGGAACCACTGAACTCAGGCTCTGAGTAACTTCGGCGACCACCTTGGCTTGTCCACCCGCCCCCCTGACTCTCTCTCTCTCTCTCGCTCTCTCTCTTTCTCTCTCTATCTCTCTCTCTCTCTCTCTTTCTCTCGCTCTCTCTCTCTCTCTCTCTCTCCTTGTTTTCGGCCTCTCCAAGTGCTCCAGACCCCAGCCATGGCCAAGGAGCGGGCCTACCCAGGCTGAATCTAGCCCGTCGAGACATGTACGGCCGACGCATAGCGTAATCACAGGCTGCTCACCGTCAGATTCGTCATAGCGTCTCGTCAGCCATTTAGAGATCGGACCAATCTGATTGTGTATTTACTCATTGCTACCGTGCCGCTGGCACTGACAAGGCCAGCACAGAAAGTGCATTTCGTAGGTAGGTTTCCTTCGGGGTTACTTCATCGTCTTACTCCTCAGCATCTGCCTCAGCCGCACTGCTGGTGATCCTCAGTACGTCCCGCGTTTCGCGCTCCCGTGCTGCTTTCGCGCATCGGTAAACGTCTTCCAGCGCGATGTTGCTCAACATCGGGATCCTTGCTTCCGTCGAGAGGCCTCCGTCGAGACACGTCTGGGGGTGCCCAGGCGGCCGAAGGCAGGTCAGCCTGGCCCATTGGAGGCCGCGTAATGATGGGGGGCACGATACAGGGGGGGGGGGGGGCCAGCGAGGGCTGCCGAAGAAAAGGCCCTTCGGGGATCCTATAAGGGGCCTTTCGGGCCCCAGAGGGGGCCTTCCGGGCCCAGAAGGGGGGGGCATCTTTCGTCCCACTAATGTGCGCCCCAGCCCAGGAGCAAGGCTGGAAGAAGCACCCCGATCCCCCCAAGGAGCCAGTCTCGGGGGCGTTAGTACAGACCGCCTTTGGACAGGTCGTCCTGCCCTGCTCGATCCCTCCCCTCGTTGCGCTCACAGGGGGGGGGTCGCCCCCAGACCCCCCTCGGGGCGCTCACCGGGGGGGTTCGCCCCCGGACCCCCTCGAGTCATGGAAAAATCACGACGGGCGGTGTTTCGCTATTTTCAGCCTTTGGGGGCTTTTACTGGGCCTCGGGACCGTCAACGCACGATTCGGGAGGAAAAAACAGGTCCTGGGGGATGGCTCGAGACCTCTTTGGGGGGCCGACGTCATGAGGGAATCACGACGTCGGGGGTCTGGGCCTGCAGGGAAGGGTGGGGGGGTGCTTCTAACGGGAGCTACTCCGCTACCCGGGGGGGAGAACGGAGGGAGGGCGGAGCAGTAAGAGGGGAGGTGTTGTTAGGCGAGCGGAGGAGGGCGCTGACGAAGCGTAGGCCTGGATCCGCGCCTCGGGGATATTGGCGTAAGGGGATCCTGCCTCCTCATTCCCCCTCCTCCTCCTACTCCTCCTCCTCATCCTCATCCTCATCCTCATCCTCATCCTACTCCTCCTCCTCCTCCTCCTCCTCCTCCTCCTCCTCCTCCTCCTCCTCGCGCCCCGTCGCCGGATTTGGCGGCGCTCTTGCTGCGTGGGCGCATGGGCTTGGGAATCCTGGCAGTCCAGCTTTGGCGTTTCGCCTGGCACCGCTCGGGCGTGTGTATTTTTTCTCAGCGAGGACCTTCGAGGAGCATCCCCCACTACCGGGCCAAAACAAACACGCACGAAACCGAAAAATGCACAGGGAACGGACGTCCGAGCGACGTCGAGTTCGCCGTGGCGCGTGCCGCCTCTGGCCACAGATTGCCCACCCACGCTGAAGCCTCGGCAATGCACGGAGGCGAGACGTGCGTGGCACTCGGGCCATCCGCTGTCCGCGCCCCTCTCCCTCTCCCCCCCCTCTCGACAGGGCGCCAGCGTCCTGATTCCGAGGGCTGCCTTCCCCGCTCAGCAGCTCCGGCGCCCACGCTCCAGCTATCCGCGGCTCGGCGATCCACGTCGGCGCGCGCCCGCGGAGAGAGGGGAGGGGCGCAGCGGGGCGCGGCACGGAGGGGCGAGGCGAGGGCGAGGCCCCCACGCTGGCCGCAGCCACCGCAGCCACAGCTGCCCCCCGGTCCTCTCGACTGGACGCAAGAGTGGCCCTTCGCTGGAGTGACCTTCTGGTGCGGGCCCACCGGCACCGAGCGCGGTCCACTGCCCGCAACGCGTGCCGACTCGCAGACGTCCGAAATTTTCACGCGTTCGCGCGGCTGCAATGGATCGTGGATAAGGCGCGGCAGATCGAGGCCATCTGCGAGCAGTTGCCTTGCGAGTAGTGGAGCGCGCTTGCCTACCTCGGGGGCCCCCGATCGCCGCACGCGGTGCGGTGGCAGCGGCCTGCGCGCCTGCTGCGTTTGGCCCTCCCCCGCGGCGCCCGACACGCCGCGCACCAGAGGCCACTCCTGCCCAGGGCAACTCCTGCGTGCAGCCTTTGGTGTGCCAACCTACCTTAGCCTTGACCGCGAGAAAGAATTTCGAGCACCAAGAAAGTACCGAAACTCCATGGCTTTCACGTGCCGGGCCGTGGGAGGAGACACTCGTCCGACACTGTTTCGACACCGTGTCGACACTTTTCCGACGCTCGAAATGATTTATGGGATGTGGTCCTTAAGTACGACGGGATCAACATAAGTGTAGCCGATCCTCGTCGCGGCCGCCTGCCCCCCGGTCCTGGCTCCAAGCCGAGGGGATGTCTGCAGAGCCCCCTCGGGACACCGCGGGCGCTCGGGAGCGCGCGCGGGAAGGCAGAAGCCTCGAGTGCCCTGGCGCCGCAGTGTTTTGCACGGCGGGCGACTTTCGGGGGCGGCAAACAGGGGGGTGATGACTAGGGGGGGATATCATGGCGTGGGCCATGGTATTTCCGCAGATTTCATGGCGCCTCGTCTTACTTCATTACGTCCCTGCTCCCCCCCCCCTCCCTGGGCCGCGCACATGCCGCTGGCCATGATTTGCGCACCCCCCTCTTTGACGCCCCCCGCTTGGCCGCCCCCGAGACTTGCTTTGCACCGTCTCGGACCCCAGAGCGACCCTCACGGATTGATCCAGCTCAAGGGACCAGACATCCGACGTCGTGCTTTTTAGTTCATACGCAGCCCCCAGAAGTCCCTGGCTTTTAGTTTTCTGACGGTCCTTGGGCCCAGTGAGGGCCCCCCGGGAGCCGAAAATAGCAAGAAGTTTTCCGTCGGGCTTTTGTTCACAACGCGAGCATGTTTGGGGGTGCCGCAGTGAGATAGGGGTCCAGGGCTCCGGTTGCAATTCATTGGCTGACACCGCACCGCCGACCTTGGGGCGGCAGTAAGAGTGAAAAACGGAGTTTGCGGAACGCGCGGGATTTCTGGGGAATCTTGGGGTTTCAGCTTCTTGGGATGTCGGGGGCGGTTGGCGGATCGCGCCTCTGCTCTTGGGCTTCTCTGGGCTCTCGTGGCAGCACTTTTGAGGCCTCTTGGGAGCCGTGTTGAGCCTCTAGGGGCCTCTTTTGGGCCTCTCGGGGGCCTCGTGGGACTCGTGGCCTCCTCAGGTTTTTCCGGGGCCGAGTGCTCGAAATGTCCATTCGGGGTCCCCTCCTCTTGGGGCCGTCCTGGGGCCCTCCTTGGCCGTTTTGGACGCTTCTGGGGTCTTCTTGGACCTTCTTGGAGCCCTCTTGGGGGCCTCTTGGGCTATCTTGGGTCGATCTTGAACGCTTCTTGGGCCGTTGTGGGCCTCGTGTGAGCCCAAGGGGCGAATGTGCTAAAAATATACGTTTCCCCTAGGGAGTGGAACGATTTTTGCTTTGGAGGGCCTCTTGGGACGACTATTGGTGGCTTCTTGGGGCGTCTTGGGGGACTCTGGGGCCTGGAGGCAATCTTGGGCGTCTTGGAGCGATCTTTCGGCGACTCGTAGCCCTCTTGGACCGTCCGGGCGGCCTTTCGGGGCCTCTTGACCCTTTTTGGGGCCCCCTGAGGCTCCAAGGGTGCGGCCAGCACTTTTGCTCCCCAGCCCCCCCACCCCCCCCTCCAAACCGGCTGGACCGGGCTCCCGGGGGAGGGGGTTGGGGAGGGGAAGCATCTCACACGCCGTGACTCCAAGAGGTCGGCTGATTTTTCGATCCGCCTTACGGTTAGAAATTTTGTCTTCGCGTGTCGTTCCGTCGGTTTTGGCCCACCACACCTTGTCACGACACGCTATCCACTTGCCGGACCCCGAGTGACAACGATCCGAGCCTTTCCCAGCCTCCCGCACCGCGGAGCGGAGTGACATTCATTCCGCTCGAGAGGTATAGCGTGCCGCCAGGGCCGCCGCGGCGACACGCTAAGCAAAAGTTCCTGACCGGATGCATTTTTCCGCGATGCGGTAGTAGCGTCTTTGGCGCTTGTGCTTGGTCCCCCCGCGGCCCCCAAAGAGCCTCGGGGGTGGACAGACCTCCTACCCTGGCATGTCGACTAGTGAATTGTCCGTTTTCGGTTCGCGAGAGGGCGCCGCGGCCGTCATTTTCCAGGCTTGCGCCCGCCAGGTTCGGGCCCGAGGTCGTTTCCACTAAACCACGTTTTACTAAAGGGAGGTCTGTCCATCCCCGAAAGCCGCGCACCACGGGTCACCTCTGCCCGGGGTCGTTCCCGCAGGTAGCGGAGGGAGGCAGCTCCAGGGCTGGCCCGCCCGCCCGCCCGCGCGGGCGCAGCAGCCTCCGCCCGGGCGCGGGCAACCTGTGGAGGAGCGGCCCCCGGAAGGACAATCGGCACTCGGAGGCGACGAGCGACGTGCAGTGCAGACCGTTTGCTCCGCATCCCCCCCAACGCGCTTTTTGCGTCGCAGCGCGGCGGAGGCAGTCCGCACGCGCGCTCGGGCCAGCCGGGAGACGGCAGCGCCAGTCGTCGTCCGACGGCAGGAGCGGGGAAGCGGGCAGGAGGGGCCGGCCGCAAGGGGGGCAGGGAGGGAGAGCGCCCGCGCGGCGGGCGGGGGGCCGTTGCGCGGAGCGGCCCGAGGCGGCCAGCCGGTGCGCCCACGTCCCGGAACCTCCGACGTCGTGGTGGGTTTGCTCCCTCCCCCCCGAGGTGCGGAGCCCTGCCCCGGAGGCGGCTTGTTTCCTCAGGAGGGGAAAAAACACACAGACACAAGGAATCGTCGACTCCCAGGAAAAGATTGGAATATGGGAAGTGGGAGGGGGGGGAAGACGAAACCCAGAAAATATTAGAAAACATGGGGAATCCTGTGATTTGTGTGTGTGTTTATTTGTGTTTCCATGGGCCCCTTCATTTCATCCTGGGTCGTGATGCTGGCGGCCCCAGGGCCTTGGCGAGGGCGCGAGGCCCGTCGTCGTGCCTCCTTTCCACCACGAGGGGACGTCGGGGCCGCTCGCTGCTCGGCGGCGAGCGAGGGGCGGGGGGGAGGTGCGAGAGGGAGGAGGCCTGCGGAGGAGGCGGCGGGGCTTCCAGGCCTCGGAACAAATTAGCGAACACTCATGCCGCATTCATCCGTCAACGCCTCCTCCTCCCCCCAATGTTCAAAGTTGGCGGTGGGTCTGATGAGATGTACTTCGACCGCAGTGTCCCCCGCGCGTGCCAACATTGAGTTTGGGGGGGAGGGGGAGTGTTCAGTAATTGTTTCCCTCTACCGTCTCAGAAGCCCTCGCGCCTTCCGAGAGGTCTCCTGCGCCGTCGGGGGAGGTTCCGAGACAACCTATCCAGAAGGCCGGGGGACGTCGGAGCCTTCTGAGAAGGCCCGCCCCCTCTAACTTCCCCCCCCGGAGTCGCCGCCGCCGAGCTACATGCACGGCACACGGCATCCATGAGTTCGCCCGCGCAGGTGCGTTTCTTGTATTTTGAGGGCCACATGCACTGCAACCGCGTGGTGGAGCAGACCACTGGGCCCACGGACGCCGTCGGCGCCGCGCGCCCTGCGAGGGGGGGGGAGAGGGCTTTCTTCGTCTTCGGTTTCCTGGGGCGCTCATCGAGCACTGGGATCGCCAAGAGGGGGCTCAGGACGAGAAGCCGGCGGTCCCTTGGAAGGGGTCCAGGTCTCTGGGCAGCCTCGCTGTGAAAAAGCACGGAGTCGGATTTCTGGGGCCACGGTCCAGCAGCAGCAGCAGCGGCAGCAGCAGCATGGGCTCTTGCGAACGCGCGTGAAGAGGGGCACCTGCGCAGGCACGCGCGCTTATCATCACGCGCTGAGCGCCGAACGTGGCTACGGACGCGTCCCGCCGTTGGCCCGACCGCCTGCTGGACCCAGTTCGGGGCAGGCCGAAAAGTGCACAGTGGAGGCCCATGCCAAGACACACCCTGCTTGCCTCCAGGGTGCCCTGGGTTCCTCGGGTTTCGGTGGTTCTGCCATGGAAAGCGTGACGCTCCCCCACCAAAAAATCAACGGACGTCCTGGGGTCTCAGGGGTAGGGTTTCCTGTGGCAGGTTTCTTGTGGACTGGCCTCCACTGCAATGACGTGGTCTGCAGGGCGTGGGCAGGCTCGGGCGGCAGCTCGACCCCGAGGACGGGGCCGGGGCACGCCGTGCCCGCGGGGGCCCGCGTCCGGTGGAGTGCGTGCTGGCACCCCAGGGAGTTGTCTGCGTTCGGCCCACCGGCAGCGATGGCCGAATGCTCTGCTGCTGCTGGTTGGTGGGCTTGCTTGCGCGGGGGCTGAGGTCAGAAAGTCCAGGGTTCGCCAGGGACTGCTTCCTTTCAAAGCAGCCGAAGCCTTCCGAAAAGCTTCGAGGAAGGCTTCCAAGAGGCTTTTCAGAGGGTTTCGGGAGGGTTTCGGAAGGGTTTTCGTCGGTTTGGGGGGAAACCAGTCCTTAGCGAACCCTGAGCTTTCTAAGGGGGATAGGACGGTTATGCGTGGATGCTAAGGTGGGTTGTGTTTGGCCGAGTCTATCTGGTAAGTGGGTTACAGGTATCATATAAATCTGGGAAGTGGACTGACGCAACCCTTGCGCCAATCTGAATGGTAACGCCGCGTGGTGGGATTCATCCCTGCCGGTGTCAGGGGCAGTCTGGCGCCTCGGCGCTCGAGAGACGGGGGCCAATGCAAACGTGGGTCAGCCAGAGCGCCGGATCTCGCAGGATCCGGCTCCAGAGGCGCCCCAAAGGGCCCAAAACGGTCCAAGATTGCCCCCAGACGGGCCCAAGAGGCCCAAAGATCCTCCCAAGACGGCCCCAAAGGCCCCCCAAAGGAGCCGAAAACGGTCCAAGAGGGCCCCCAGATGGTTAGATGGCTTCCAGACGGTCCGAAAGAGCCTCGAGACGGCCGGCTCCAGAGTCCTTCAAGAGGGCCCCCGAGAGGACCTCAGGAGGCCAAAAACATTGATTCCTTGGGTTTTTGCATGTTTTTCGGGTTCCCCCCCTTTTCAGTCCCAGAAGGGCCCCAGACGGCCCAAGAGGCCCTAAAGATCGTCCCAAGACGGCCACAGTGACGCCCCAAAGGGGCCCATAATGGTCCAAGCGGGCCCCCAGACGGGCCCAAGACGACCCAAGAGGCCCCAACGATCGTCCCAAGACGGCCCCAGAGGCCACCCAAAGGAGCCGAAAACGGTCCAAGAGGGCCCCCAGATGGCCCAAGAGGGCCCCCAGACGGCCCCAAGAGAGCCCCAAGAGGGCACCAATAGGCTCCCAAGCGGGCCCGAGAGGCTCCCAAGAGGGCCTGAGGACAGCCCAAAAAGGCCCCAAGACGGCTTAAGAGAGCCACAAGACGGCCCAAGGAGGATCCGAGAGAGGCCCAAGATGCTCCCAAGACACAGTACATATGTCGTCGTCATCATCATCAACAGAATCATCCTAGTCTTCATTCGTGTTTGTTTCGCGCTTTAGTGCCTTCCCAAGATACCAACACGCCCTAGTTCCCCCTGAAGAGGCCTCCTGCGGCTTCTAGATAGTCCTAGAGAGCGCCCAATATGCCACCAAGATGCCCCAAGAGAGCCCCCAGACGGGGAGACAGAGAGAAAGAACGGGCAAGCCAGCGACACTTCGCGCTCTGAAAATAGATGCGCGTTCCGTCCCCGCGCCAAGCAGGCAACGGAAAGCGCGAGGCACGAGTGATGCACGTTCTGGTGGGGCGACGCCCTCCAGGGAGGAGCGCAGAGGCGGGGCGAAGAGCGCGCACCCCGGTTCTCATGGCCAGCTCTCCTCGCGTTTTGTTTTCGAGTGAAGCGGCTCCCGGGCGGCTCTCATGGCCCGTTTCTTCGTATTTGTTCGAGTGACGCGGCCCAAGGGCTCCACGACGGCCCAAGAGAGCCCCCAAACAGCCCCAAGACGGCCCCAAGAGAGCCTCAGATGGCCTCCAGAAGGTCCGAGAGAGCCTCGAGACGGCTTCAAAGGCTCCCCAGAGGCTCCCGAGACGGCCCCCAGGGGCCAAAAACATTGATTGTTCTATGCGTTTGCAGATTTTGGGGGTTATTGTTTTTTCTGGCCAAGAAACGGTCCAAAACGGCCCAAGAGGCTCCAAAGATCGTCCCAAGACGGCCCCAGAGGCTCCCGAAAGGGCCCGAAAACATTCCGAGAGGTCCCCAAGACAGCCCCAGAGGAGCCCCAAACGGTCCAAAAGGGCCCCAAGACGGCCCAAGAGGGCTCCAAGACGGCCCCAGGAGAGCCCCAAGAGGGCCCAAAGAGGCTATCAAGAGGGGTCCAAGAGGCCCCCGAGAGAGCCCCAAGACGGCCAATGACCTCCAAGACGGCCCAAAAGGGCCCCAATACGACCCAAATGTGCCCTAAAAGGCCTCCCCAAAGGGCTCCAAAAGGGCCCACGAAGACCCCGACGAGGCCTAAGAGACAATCAAGAACACCATGGCTCCCATCAGCGAGCGGTGACGTAACAAGCTCTTGACTCCAAGGCTCCCCAGAGCGCGGTGACATAAAGAGCTCGTCAATCCAAGGCTCCCAAGAGCGAGCGGCAACGTAAAAGTCTCTGAACACCAGGGCTCCCAACGGAGAGCGGCGACGCAACAAGCTCTTCACACCAAGGCCCCCATGCGCGAAGGTGACGTAAAAAGCTCGTCACGCCAAGGCTCCCAAGAGCAAGCGGCAACGTAAACATCTCTGAACACCAGGGCTCCCAACAGAGAGTGGTGACGTAACAAGCTCTTCCCACCAAGGCTCCCAAGAGCGAACGGTGACGTGACAAACTCGTGCACACCAAGGCTGCCAAAAACGAACGGTGGCGTACACAACTCTTAACACCAAGGTTCCCAAGAGCGACAGCAACGTAAAAGTCTCTGAACAGCAGGGCTCCAAACAGAGAGCGGAGACGTAACAAGCTCTCAGCACCAAGGCTCCCAAGAGCGCAGGGTGCCATGAGCACTCGGGCCAGTTCCTGAGCGCTCTTTCCGTTTCCGTGCTGACCCAGGTGACGGAAAGAGCGAGGTACCAGTGATGACGTTGAGTTGGGGCGAAGTTTTCTAGGGAGGGGTCCAGGGGAGGGGCGAGGTCCGGGCAAAATGGTCTAATGGCCCGTTTCCCTCGTAGTGTTTCGAGTGAAGCGGCTCCCGGGCGGCTCCCATGACCCGTTTCTTCATATTTTTTCTGGTGAAGCGGGTCAAAGGGCCCAAGAGGGCCCCAAGACGGCCCCAAGAAAGTTTCAGATGGCCGCTAGGCAGTCCAAGAGAGTCTCGAGACGGCCCCAGAGGCCCTCAAGAGGGCCCCCGAGAGCGCCTCAGGAGGCCAAAAACATTGATTTATTTAAGGTGTTTGAAGGTTTTTCTGGTTCTCCTCCCCTTTTCCGTCCCAGAAGGGCCCCAGACGGCCCAAGAAGCCCCAAAGATCGTCCCAAGGCAGCCCCAGACGCGCCCCAAAGGGGCCCAAAACGGTCCAAGATTGCCCCCAGACGGGCCCAAGACGGCCCAAGAGGCCCCAAAGATCGTCCCAAGACAGCCCCAGAGGCGCCCCAAACGGGCCCGAAACGGTCCAAGAGGGCCCCCAGACGGGCCCAAGACAGGGCAAGAGGCCCCAAAGATCGTCCCAACACAGCCCCAGAGGCGCCCAAAAGGCCCCAAAACGGCCCAGGATGGCCCCCAGACGGCCCAAGGGGGCCCCAATACGCCCAAGAGGGCCCCAATGGGCTCCCAAGCGGGCCCGAACAGGAGGAGGGGGAGGAGGACAAGTTAGGTGCGCTCGCGTCAACATCTGACATCCTACCCCTCCCTCCCATCCCTTACCATGGCGCTAATTTTCTCTACCCGCGGACGCGCGGACCTGTGGCTCCGCGCGCGTGTGCGTAGTGGGTGGTGGTGCGCGTGCGTGCGTGCGTGTGTGCGTGGTTGTGGTTGTTGTGGTGGTGGTGTAGTGTGTGTGTGTGTGTGTGCGTGTGTGCGCGTGTGCTGTGGTGTGACGTGGTGTGGCGTCTTGGTGGTTTGGTGGTGGGCCAGGTGCGTACGTGCGTGATGGCGGCGGTGGTGGTGGCGGTGGTGGTGGTGTGTGTGTGTGTGTCTGTGTGTGCGTGTGTGTGTGTGTGTGTGGGCGGTGGTGGTGTGTGTGTATGTCTGTGTGTGTGCGTGTGTGTGTGTGTGCGTGTGTGTGCGTGTGTGTGCGTGTGTATGTGTGTATGTGTGTATGTGTCTGTGTGTCTATGTGTCTATGTGTCTATGTGTCTATGTGTCTATGTGTCTATGTGTCTATGTGTGTATGTGTGTATGTATGTATGTATGTATGTGTGTATGTGTGTATGTGTGTATGTGTGTATGTGTGTGTGCATGCGTGCGTGCGTGCGTGCGTGCGTGCGTGTGTCTGTGTGTGCGCGCGTGTGATGTGGTGTGACGCGGTGTAGCGTGGTGGTGGTGGGTGGGGTAGTGCGGTGGTGGTGGCGGTGCGCGGTGGTGGTGCGCGTGCGTGCGTGCGTGCGTTGGTGGGTGGAAGTGGCGGTGGGTGTGCGTGCGGCGGGGCGGGGCGTGGTGCGGCGCGGTGGTGGCGGGCGGATGGGCGCGCGAGAAAGAGGCCCGCGCTGGGGCGAGAACGCCATCCTGAACGACGAAGGCAAAACACCGATCCGAAAATGAGGCCCACGCTGCAGCGGGAGCACGATTCGGAACGACCAGCGGCGCGGAAAATAGGACGAACGCTGCAGCGGGAGCAACATTCTGAAGGACCGGAAAGACTCGGATTTTCAAAAACATAGATGAAAACCAAACTCCCGGGAATCCTGTGCGGAAAAGGACGCCGCCCAAAGGGGGGGGGGGGCTTGCTGCGGCCCCAAAAATCAACGAATCGACACCGGATGTGTAATCACCTCCAATGTTTTGGCCGGGGATCATTTTCTACATTTGGGGCTTCTTAAAAAGGATCGAAAACGTCGGCGCTGCAGCGGGAGCACGTTTTGGAACAACGAGAGGCGCAGAAATTGGGCCAGCGCTGCAGCGGGAGCACGATTCGGAACGAGCGGGAGCGCGGAAATGAGGCCAGCGCTGCAGCGGGAACACGATTCGGAAGGAGCGGGAGCCCGAAAATTAGGCCAGCGCCTCAGCGAGAGCAGCGTTTTAGAAAAAAACGCAAGCGAAAACCCAACTCCGGGGAATCCTGTGTGTAAAAAAACAGTACGCGGGGGGGTGCCGAACATCTTCCGGACGCCATCAGGGGAAGTGGGAGAGTAGTATTCATATTGTGTAATTGTGGAGGAGGAGGAGGAGGAGGAGGAGAAAGAGAGAGGAAGGAGGAGGAGGAGGAGGAGGAGGAGGAGGGGGAGGAGGAGGAGGAAGGAGGAGCGGCGGAGGAGGAGGAGGAAGGAAGGAACGAGGACGAGGCCAAGGAGGAGGAGGGAGGTAGAAGGAGGAGGGGGAGGAAAAAGAGGAGGAGGAGAAAGCGAGGAGGAGAAGGAGAAGGAAAGAGGAGGAGGAGGAGGAGGTGGAGGAGGAGGAGGGAGAGGAGGAGAAAAGGGAGAGGAGGAGGAAGAGAGGAGGAGGAGGAGGAGGAAGAGGAACTAGGACGAGGCCAAGAGGAGGGAGGAGGAGGAGGAGGAGGAGGAGTCAGGAGGAGGAGGAGAGAGATGAGGAGGAGGAGAGGAGGAGGAGAGGAGGAGGAGGAGGAGGGCGACGGAAGGGAGGTAGAAGGAGAGGCGGAGGAGGAGGAGGAGGAGGAGGAGGAGGAGGAGGGAAAGGAGGGGAGGGAGGAGGAGGAGGAGGAAGGAGGGAGAGAGGAGGAGGAGGAGGAGGAGAGGAGGAGAGGGTGGAGGACAAGGACGAGGGGGAGGAGGAGGAGGAGGAGGAGGAGAGAGGAGGAGGAGGAGGAGGAGGGAGGAGGAGGAGGAGGAGGAGGAGGAGGGAGGAGGAGAGGAGGGAGGAGGAGAGGGAGGAGGAGGAGTCAGGAGGAGGAGGAGGAGGAGGAGGAGGAGGAGGAGGAGGAGGAGGAGGAGGAGGAGGAGGAGGAGGAGGAGGAGGAGGGGGGGGAGGAGGAGGAGGAGGATGAGACGTAAGAAGCTCTTCACACCCAGGCTCTCAAGCGCGAAGTTGACGTCAAAAGCTTGTCACACCAAGGTTCCCAAGAGCGAGCGTCAACGTGAACATCTCTGAACACCAGGGCTCCCAACAGAGAGTGGTAACGTAACAAGCTCTTCCCACCAAGGCTCCCAAGAGCGAACGGTGACGTGACAAACTCGTGCACACCAAGGCTCCTAAGAGCGAAAGATGACGTACACAAATCTCAACACCAAGGTTCCCAAGAGCGAGCGGCAACGTAAAAGTCTCGGACCACCAAGGCTCCCAAGCGCGAGCGGTGACGTCACAAACTCTTACCACCAAGGCTCCCAAGAGCGAAGGGTGCCATGAGCCCTTCCGGGCACGTTGCTAACAGCGCTCTTTCCGTTCCCGTGCCGGCCCAGATGTAATGGCCCAATATTCGGCCATGTTCGGCTTTAGACGGCCCAAGTCAGCCCCGAGAGCGCCTCAGACGGCCCCAAGACGGCCCAAGAGCGCCCAAGCTACCGCCACGACGGCTTCAGGGAGGCCTGGGCCCAGGACGGCCTCAAGACAGCCAAGGAGGCCCTCAAGACGCTCCGCGAGGCTTCCAATAGGACGCCCCAGAGGCAAAAATCGTCACATGTCAACCATCTTTGTGAAGGTCGCCATTTTTCGAAGGCCAAGCCGCCCGGCTCACAACTGGCCCACAGAGCCGACAGAGGCCTCCGGCCCACCAGATGGTCATGCCTTCAAGATCGGCGTTCTTCGAGGGCCAAAGCGCCCAGCCCACAGCTGGCCAACAGAGCCGGCAGAGCCCTCCAGCCCACCAGGAGGGGCGCCATCCTAGTGAGGGTCGCCATTATTATTGAGGGCCATGACGCCCGGCCCACAGCTGGCCCACAGAGCTGGCAGAGGCCTTCGGCCCACTAGGAAAGCGCCATCCTTGTGAGGGTCGCCACTGCTCGAGACCCAAGCGCTCGGCCCACAGCTGGCCCAGAAGAGCTGGCAGACCCCTCCAGCCCGCTGGGAGGAGCGCCATCCTCATGAGGGTCGCCACTTTTCAAAACCAAAGCGCCCCCCCCGCAGCTGGTCTGCAACTGGCTCGCAGAGCCGGCAGAGCCCTCCGGTCGAGCAGGCGGGGCGCTATCTTTGTAAGTGTCGCCGCTTCGAAGGCCGAAAAGCGCCAAGCCCGCAGCTGGCCCACAGAGCTGGCAGAGCCCTCCAGCCCGCCAGGAGGGGCGCCTTCCCAGTGAGGGTCGCCACTATCGAGGGCCAGGGCGCCTGGCCCACAGCTGGCCCACAGAGCTGACAGAGGACTCCTCCTCCTCCTCCTCCTCCTCCTCCTCCTCCTCCTCCTCCTCCTCCTCCTCCTCCTCCTCCTCTCCTCCTCCTCCTCCTCCCCCCCCCCATCCCACCTCCCCCTCCTTCCCCTCCGCCTCCGCCTCCTCCTCCTCCTCCTCCTCCTCCTCCTCCTCCTCCTCCTCCTCCTCCTCCTCCAGCCTACCAGGAGGGGTGCCATTCTTGAAAGATCGGTTTTCGCTCGATGAGCAAAGCGCCCGGCCCACAGCTGGCCCACAGAGCCAGCAGAGCCCTCCGGCCCACGGGGAGGAGCGCCATCCTCGTGAGGGTCGCTTTCGTTTCGAAGGCCAAGGCGCCCAGCAGACAGCTGGCCCGCAGAGCTGGCAGAGCCCTCTGGCCCACCATCCTTTTGAGGGTCGCCAGAGTATCGAGGGTCAAAGCGCTTGGCCAACAGCTGGCCCAGAAGTGCCGGCAGAGCCCTCCAGCCCGCTGAGAGGAGCGCCATCTTCGTGACGGTCGCCACTTCTAGAATGCCAAAACGCCCAGCCCACAGCCGACCCACAGAGCCAGCAGAGCTTTCCAGCCTGCAGGGAGGGGAACCATATTCGTGAGGGCGCCACTTTTCGGGGCCCAAGAGCGCCCGGCCCACAGCTGGCCGACAGAGCCGGCAGAGGAGTCCAGCCCACCAGGAGGGGCGCTATCTTCGTGAGGGTCGCTTTACTCGAAGGCCGAAGTGTCCAGCCCGCAGCTGGCCCGCAGAGCCGGCAGAGCCTTCCAGCCCGTTGAGAGGAGCGCCATCCTTGGTGAGGGTCGCCATTGTTCAAAGCCAAAGCGCCCGGCCCGCAGCTGGCCCGCAGAATTGACAGAGCCCTCCAGCCCGCTGAGAGGGGCGCCTTTCTAGTGAGGGTCGCTACTATCGAGGGCCAAGGCGCCCGGCCCACAGCCGGCCCACAGAGCTGGCAAAGGTTTCCGAGAACGCAGCTTTTGTTCATCAGTTAAGAATTCATTTTGCTAAAGCGTATGAATGGTTTTGGCCTCCTCGGGGCCTTTTTGTGAAGGCTCTTGGGGCCTTTCGAAGGCTTCTGGGGCCATATTTGAACCATCTTGGGCGTCTTGGACCGATCGTGCAGGGATTCGGGGCGCCTTTGGACCGTCTGGGCGGCCTCTTGGGCCCTTGGGGCCCTCTTGGCCGATCTTGGGGCCCTCGTGGCCCGAAACAACTAGGCTGGTAGACGCGACAAGGCCCAGGAGATTTGGCACTTTGGGATCCCGTCCCCTTCAAGAATCGCCAGTATTGAAGACTGAAGCTCCAGGGGGATTGAGCAAGGAGCCTGAGGACACTCCAGCTCGTGCCTCAAGGGCACGGTGGCGGATACCATGACTCGCGGCCCATGATGAGCCCAGCACGAACCGTTGTAGATGTACAGTTGGCGTCCTCCTACCCCATCCGGGCGAGGCTTCATGGTCGGAGGCACTGGCATGGGCCAGGACAACTGCGACGAGACGGGGGGTCAGGCTGCCGTGAGCCGCGGGCCGCCCCCGCACTGGATGGCCTGCTCTCCTCGCGAGCGCCGGGATCGCGCTCTGCCGGCCACGGCCACTTCAAGCAGGGCCCATTTCGAGCCGATCGATTCGATGTCGATGTCGAATTTTGGCCGGCCCGAGCCGGGCCGATGCAGACATTCCGACGATTCGATGTGGCCCAGTGCACGCAGGCCGCGGTTGCGCATCCTTGCGCAGCCGATTCGATTTCGATTCCGCGCCGATGCAGCCCTATCCGACGCATGTTCCGATTCTATCCAATTTCCTTATTCGGTGCTGACTACTGACTTTACCCCGCTGGGCGCTGTCAGCTTGCAGGCCGCCGTCGGGTCAAAGTCCTCCTGGCGGGGCTGTTGACGTGACGTCTTCCGTTCCGAGTTCGAGATCGCATGCGTGTGAGCGCGACGCAAAGAAAGTGGGTCGTCTTCACCGACCCTGGCGCGCAAGCTGCCCGCGTGAGGGTGCGCGTGATCGCCCTCGTTTCCGATGCAGCCTGCCACGCTGGCGGCCCGCGTAAGCCGCGGCTCGAGGTCGCCGTGGCATCTCGCGGAAGACGACCTTTTTTGTTTCGTCGCTCACGCGCCAGCGCTTAGGAACACCATGTAGGCTCAGCGTGTGAGAAACGATAGGTCTGCACAGCGCCAACGCCTGCATGCCCTGGAGCGGTGTCGAGCGTCGTCTGCCCCGCCTTTCCGCCATGCCTCCTCGTGTCTCCGTATCGTTGTTCCGTCTGGCTCCGTCGGGCCGAGAGTCCGAACACATTGTTCATGTCTCATTATTCGACAGTTCTTTGATTTTTTGGGGGCCAAGATCCTTTCATTTCTAATTGTTCTATCCTGGGTCTCTTCCTGGACACTAGGGAGCCAGGAACAATTAGAAACAAGCACAATTAGGAATGAGCACGATTAGAAATGAACGACGTGTATATTTCCGTTCGAGACGGTTGGGGGTCCGAGGTGGTCCAGCATTGGTTTTGGCGAGTATCAGAAGACAGGCGAAGGTTGGGAAACCCGTGGCTGCTAAAGCGGAGCTCGGGGAAACTGTTTTTTTCGTCGGGGAAGCAGCCCGTTTACCATTTAGCGCGCTGAGTTTATTCCGGGAAGCTGTTTTTGTCTTCTGGGATGACCGGTTTGGCAGCCACGGATTTGCCAGCCCTCGCCCAGCTTCCGAGAGCATGAAGGGGGGGAAGAGGTCTAGGTGCGCGAGGTTTGCCTTCTTTGGCCTCGGGCCGCTTTCTGGCCCCAGGACCTCAACAACCGATCCGATGAACAACTACACCAGATGGACCCAGGGAGGGGTCTGGGGACCGATTTTGAGCGTATTTGTGCTCATCTCCCCTTCCTGACCGATTCTCGAGGTCCATCCAGTCAAGACCCCGCCATGCAGCCTCCAATACTAGAGCATTCAAGTCGAAGCCGTATGCTACTTGTTCGGTAATCTGGATGACCAAAGATCAGGAAGCCCTTATCACATTAAGATGTAGGTACTATGCCATTGAAGCGAGCAGGTGTTGCATGTACATGGCCTAAGCACACACACACACACACACACACACACACACACACACTTATGCATGTTCATGCATAAGTGTGTGCCCAGGCTCATACGATCGAGCAGGGGATGCAAGCACGAACGATGAGGACACTTTCGAAAGTTTGGGCCATCGGCATGTGTCACACATGCGTGTTATCAAAGTACGCGCAATCGGGCTGATCGATCATACCAGAAGGTATGGCATTGGCAGCTCGATTGTGTGTAACATTTATGTGTATACATGAACGAGTCCAAAAAAAATTACATTGGAATTAGTGTGGAGTTCAATGTCGCTGAAATATGTGACTGCACTGCGTCAAGTAGTGTGGTTGTAAACTACGTTAGAAATCATTGAAACATGTATTTGGTACGCATGTGCACAAGACACTAAAACCCTTGTGTTTCTAGAGGTCGGGCAAGAAGGCTGAGAGATTCTTGGGCTCGTAGACCGTGATGTCGCGATCTGCGCGAGAGGTGCGGCCAGCCTTCAGATTTATGTCAATCCCCAACCTGGAGCCCCGACTGGCGACTGGGGTGCCGGGGGTCCCACTGAGCCCCCCGGAGCCCCCAGGAATTTCCAAGACCCTTCGGGAGAGTTTCAATTGGCCGCCTGGGAGCCCTTCGAGGTCCCAAGAACGCCCCAGGCCGCTTGGGACATGCTCCGACGAGACCAGACACTCAAGATGCCTCCCCGAGGTGCTTCTGCCCAAAAAGACCCAAGAGTCTCCCCAAACCGCCCGCAGACGGCTCAAGAGGGCCGCCAGACGGCTCCAAGAAAGATCGCGGGCAGCTGGCCCAAGGGGCCTATGACGCTCCCATAGAGGGCCCCGAGAAGCCTTCGAAGGGACCCAGGCGGCCCAAGAGCACCCCAAGACCGCCCGAGAAGGCTCCAAGACTGCTCTGGAAGGGTGGGGGCGCTCTGGGGCCGTCCTGAGGGCCTCTTGGAGCGTCCTGGGGCCTCTTGGTACCCTCCGAGTCCATCTTGGGGCGTTGCGACCTCGGGAGCAGTCGCCCGACACCCGAGAGAGATGCGAGAAGCCCCGGGAGATCCGGCAACAGGGGGCCTGGGCCCCACAAGGAGATCTGAATCATTCAGCACAGAAAGCGTGAAGGGAGCCGAGGACACTCCACGCAGTGCCCAACGGTTGCGGATAAAATGCTCCTTTCTGTCGGGAGGAGCAGAAGAAGCTTAAATATGTGGGTAAGGTGCATCGGGGGGATGACGCGCTCGAATAAGCGAAGGGCGAGGATTAGGTAAGGTGACCGATGAAATCGGGGCCTTGCTCCGCCCTAAGTATCGACTTGAAGTCAGACAAGAACACTACTGGCATCCCAGTGCCAGGGTCGCGTTGTGTTCGCCCCCACACACACACACACAATTATGCGGCCCGTCGTTCCCACGCAGCAATGGATGAAACTTGCAGTCTTACACGGCTCGCACCGACTACGCATGGCATTGCAGCTGCAGTGCACGGTTGTTGTCCACGCGATGAGAGCGGAAGAGATTGCTAAGGGAGTCACCCAACTCTTCAGGTTGGTTTCACAGTCGTCCAGAGCGTGCCCGACGCATCGGGTGGCCCGGACGTGCGCGTGGACCGCGCGTTGTTTTGCTGTGAGTTGTTTGGGCGGGGCATCCTGTTCTCTCTCTCTCTCTCTCTCTCCCTCTTTCTCTCTCTCTCTCTCTCGCACGCTTGACCGCTGTGTCGCGTGCATATCATACATGTAAATGTTTGTTTCGCTGGAGGAGGGGAGGGGACCTTCAGATGCTTGCATGTCTGACCTATGTTAGGAGCAATTCCTCGATTGGTGCGGAACCATGCGAGACTGTCGGTTCGTCACAACGGAAGAACTTAAATTGAGGTTTTCACATGTCTGTCATACCTTTTGATGTTTTGGCAACAGTGGCAAGCAATCGCTAGACACGGTCCTTCAGTACTTTGCAGTATGCGCAGGTGCACATGTTTGTTGACGTTTTGCCCATGACGTGTATTGTAGCCGTACGCCGATGATTCAAAGTGTCGCAGCAGCGTTCCATGTTTCGAACAGCTTGTCATATCTTGGGGGTTGTGCATGGGACTGGTACTAGTGCACCGCCCCTCTGATCTGACGTTGCAAAAACACATGCAACATCCCAAAACATCACCTCTGGAGCCCAGGACTCCATCTTGTTGCGTAATTTTCCGAGCCGGATCGATATATGAGGGTCTTGGGGCCCGAAACCAGGCGAAAACGCCCGCTGTGAAAAAATTGCAGCGCCAGGATCTCAGGGTGGTATTGGTCATAGTGGATCTTCTGACTGCGATGCGTTGCGCCAGCACGAGAGGACCACTTCCCCTTGGTCGCGCGGCACGGGGAGTATTTCGAGCTCATACTGATGTGCCCGCTCCTCGCCGTGGCGTCGTTGTCGCCGTCGTACCCTCGCTAGGCTCGCCTAGAACCGTGATCGTAGATGTGGGGGGGGAACCCCGCTCCAGGAAGGCGGACGTCGTGGTTGCGGCATGGCGCCCCAGATGTTCGAGAGCCCTGGTCAGAAGAACAAAGTCGGCGTGCACGACTCCTCCTCCGCCTCCTCCTCCTGTTTGACTCGAGGAGCGAAACATTACATAAACATAAACATAAATGTTCGACGGTCCGCCCAGATATCTTGAATCTGCGCTGGGCCCCCTTGATGGCGCCTCCGGCGCCGCCCCTGGCGCGCACCGCAAGCCAGGGAGGTGGGTCCAGCGCGGCTCCAAGACATCCGCGCAGACCGTCGCAGGAGTATGTTTGTGCCTTGGTTTGTTCCTCGATGGACAGGCCTTACGGCGGCGGCATTGGATAAGGAACGTTTTCCTGCTGCCCAGACCCTGGCGCATCCCTCATTGTTTCAAGGCGAGGTGGGTGGCCCACGTTTGGCCGCCCATCGATCGCGAGACCCTGGGCTCCTTATCGAAGGTACCCTCATCTGAAACCTCCGCCGTGACTATGGGATTCGGGCTGGCTTCTAATGATGCCGGGCTGGTCGTGGCCTGCTCGGGTCTTTCCCGCTGCGCTGACGCGCCCGTCCCCCCCACTGACTGCGGGGGCCCGGGGCTCTCCAAGCCGCCTTGTTGCGCGGGGACGTGCTCTTCCACGGAGAACGCTCCGCCATGAATCTCTTCTCCGGGGCGGCCAAAGAGGGGGGTGATGACTGGGGGGGGGATATTATGGCGGGGGCCATGAGATCTCCCCAGATTTCATGGCGCCTCTTCTTGTTTCAATACTTCCCCAGCCCCGCCCTGGGCCGCGCACACGCCGCCGGACATGATTTGCGCCACCCCCCCTCTTGGACGCGCCCTTCTTGGCCGCCCCCGACCTACATTCGACGAAGAAAAACGGCGTAAACATAAATTGTCGGCGCTCCGCGCGGATTTTTTGGATCCGCGCTGGGGCCCCCCCGCGGCGCCACTGGCGCCGCGCCAGGGAGGGGGGTCCGTCGCGGATGCAAGAAATC